AGTGTAAGGTTAGTCCATCTGCAACAGGGAAGTGCTGTTGGCTTCCTATCCACTCAGCAGTTACGTGGCTCTAGGTAGCTCAGGGCAGACTGTTGCCACTGACTAGGGGACAAATCATTAAAACATGGCCTAGTTGTGGACTAGCCTCATCACCTGGTGTCTTCTCATATATGATTCTGAAGTGATGTCAACGAAATTATCATTAACTTGAATTACCTGTGGCTGATTGGGTGTTGAATAAGTAGTGTTTGAAGATGACCACTGCATAATTATCGATTATTTTTCAATAATAAATGGAATATCTAAGTAATAAAGCGGAAAATTAGGGAACAAGATAAATAAATTACTTTCTTCTCCTTGGAACCTCATAATGTATGCAATCCAAATATATGGAAGACATAGAAAACAAACTTACTATAAACTACAGTAGAATATGTGGAAACTATCAAGAGACACTATTGGTAGACACAAAACTGAAACGTCCACAATATGAGCTCTAAAACCTACGAATCATGTACTGGCTCTAAAACAGGTAATGAGAAGATGAAACAAACAAAAACTACAGGCAGCACCAGTGTGAGATTTCTAAAACGACTTTATGAATCACAAGAAGAGAATACTAGAAATAAAGACATCAGAAGAAGTTGAAAACCAAACAAATTTAGTAGAAGAGAACTAAGAACAGTTCAAAGAAGATGAAAGATCATTTACAGAGATGAACAACCAATAGATTTCCAAAGTTAAGGGAAAGTTAGAAAAACCATAGGGAATCAGAGGTAAAGAGGAGTCTGTTAAAGAGGTGGGCAACAACAGTGAACACATTGGAACACTAAGAATCTACCAAGAATAACTTTAATTTAACCAACTAGAAACAGGCCTATATAACCTCATTAGTCTGTCAGTTCACTGATGATGATTTTTGCAATAACTGTGATAGCTTCCCTAGTGGTGTGAACTAAATATTTGAGGTGTATGAGGAACTGTGGAAAATGATTGGAGGAAATATTTTCCTTTGTCGAGTGGGAGATTGTGTATTTTCAGTCCACATGAACCATAACATCTCACATTCTTTATAATTAGGATTGATTTTTAAGTAACTGTAAAAACATCATCAAAAATGATTTAAAAAAAATGAGTTTTATAAGTTTTGCTTAATCATTTTTGATGATGTTTTTACATTTATTAAAAACCAATCCCCCTAATCTATAAGAATCTGAGTTTATGGTTCATGTGGAACTGAAAAATGACCACATCTTCCCCACTCCACAGTAGTTGCCAACCATTTATCTAATGAGAGCCATATAAGTGAGGCAATTAGAGCCAATGATTCTTTCCTGAAATTTATCTCATCTTTAAACCTCCTTTACTGTAATACTATTCCAAATAGTCATTGGAGTTCGTTTCTTGATGAGTCTTTTCTTAGTACCCACAGATGTACTGTGTACTCATGCACAGCATCACAATGTATCTCATAAATGATGATTGTCCTAGTTTATTAACAAAATTTGATAAAAGTTCAAATGGTTCTATATTTTTTATTATGCATAGGTTTTAAATACTACGTCTTCAGAGCCATATTCCATGGCTCAGACAGAGGAAAGGTGTTTACTGGCGACATGTTGGTTCCTAGGTTTAAACTTCCATCCTAATCATGGTTGTCAATTTGCTGGTTGCTGGTTGTAAATTTGAGCAGTTCTCAACTGGTATTATAATTTAATGTGAACCCTTACTATAAGATTGAGAAAGTCATGTGCATTTACCACTAGTTGGTCTTGTAGTCATCACAGTTTTCCATATGGCTTTGTTATAGCTTAATATACATATGCTTAGCATTGCATAGATTCTCGCCTTACACTCGCGTTATTTAACAGAATGGAGGACCAGAAGTGATATTGTATATTTGTTGCATCCCCAAGACAAGTAAATTTATTTCTGCATTCATTTAAAATATCACAAATTGCATACTTTTTTGTTGAGCAATGGCGACTCCCTAATAATGATGTGAAATTTGTAATTGTGACGGTTTGCGTTAAGATGTTTTCAGTTAGTTTGTAAATTAAAAGCTTCATGTTGCAGCATGCATTGCTGGCTGGCCTAGGAAAAGCCGTTGTCAGAGTGAGAAGCTCCTTGGCAGTGCAAGGTGTCTCGACACGCTCCCCAGCTTGCACAGTGGCAGAGGGATACGGCCCTTTGTCGTTGGCTTTGCTACGAGCTCGCTCCCATACTTTCCCTCGTGGAATCATGCTCTTCAAACACAGTGCTTAGCTAATAGCTGCAGAGCTGGCTGGGTATCCATACAATATATTTTGGCTCGTGGACTTCCCCCACTTTTCCGTTGCACAGTACAGTTGTATATGACCAAGATTCTTACAGACATCTAAAATCATGTGTCCTCTTCTGGGAGTCTTCTCTAAACTGTTTCTCCTCGTTGTATTTAGCTGACCGAACGCCTCCTGTTCTCGTGCCATGAAGCAGCGCGATCGGCCCACCTGCTGCTGGGGTTGGGGGGAGCAGACCCACGCCGCGCCTTCGGGGGCACGTGTTGTTGCCTGATGGTGGCAGGCTCCGTGCCACTGTTGCCCAGGTAAAACGGTCCTCTTCTGCTGCTAGCGTCTGCAAACGGCCCCTTCAAGGTCCTGCCAGCCAAATATTTGTAAGTAACGGTCTTTCTCCCCAATGGCCACAGCGAAGAAGTGAAGTTTCATGTGAGAAATGTGGACTAGAGCAGAGTTCGTACTGCTGATCATCGACAGACATGCAAACAGTTCTGTTTCACTGTGTATTTTTTCTGGATTATAAGGACCTCCGCCCCCTCATTATTTCTTCTTATGTTTCATCTTTTTTCAATAATCGATACAGAAAATGAAGACTGATATGTATCTCAAACTAAGCTTTAATGATTTTTGAATAATTTTGGTGGTGTGTCCTCTCTCTCTCTCGTTATCCTCTCCCTCTCTCCTCTTGGCCTGCTCTCTCTCTCTCTCCTCCCTACTCTTCTCCTCCTACTCTCTCTCTCTCCCCCGCACGCCCCCCCGTGTCTCCCTCGCTCTCCCTCTCCTCCCCTCTTGCATCCTCGCTCACCTCTCCTCCTGATCTTTCTCTCTTCCCCATGTCCTGACCTCTCCTCTCTTCTTCTATCCTTTTCTTCTGTATCTTCTTCTCTCCGATCCTTCTCATCCCCTTCAAATCACGCCCCCTTATCCAAAGCCTCCCCTCGCTCTCTATCTCACTACCATCTCCGCCTCCTCATCTCTCCCTCCTCTTCTCTCCCCTCTCTCCTCATCTCTCATCTCTCCTTCCTCTCGCCTCTCTCTCTCCCTCTCCTCTCCCTCTCTCTCTCCCTCTCCTCTCTCCTCTCTCTCCCTCTCTCTCTCCCTCTCTTCCTCTCTCTCTCCCTCTCTCTCCTCCCTCTCTCTCCCCTCTCTCTCTCCCCTCTCTCCTCTCTACCCTCTCCTTCTCTCTCCATCTCCTCTCCTCTCTGTCTCTCTCCTCTCTCTCTCTCTGTCTCTTCTCTCTCCGTCTCTCTTTTTTTCCCCTTCTTCATTCTTCAAAAACAATGAACAAACGGACCATACATGTTTCTGTCCACAGCATACCTGCCTATATTTCGTAGCGCCCAGTGACTATGGAAATTGCGGTAATTAGAAGTTTTGAAGTAAATTATTGCCAACATAATTAACATGCAATGTTACTCGCTTGCATATTAATATTTGACAAACTTCTCAAGCAAAGTGTTCTGAAAATCCCATTGAATTAGAACAAAACCGCTCCATCCCATGACGAGCGATAGCGACGCTGATTCGTGAGCGAATGCTTGGGAAGCCACGCCTCTCGCAGAGTGACGGGCGCGCGGGCGCTCTCTTGTGGTGCAGCCGCACGGGCGCCGCCGGCGCGGCGCGCGCCGCGCTGGCGCGGCCTCTGCGCGCCCGCGCCCGCCGCGCGCCGCTTCTGCCGGACGCGCCGCGGCTGTCGGAGCGCGCGCTGGACGCGTGGCGGCGCTGTGGCGCTGGCGCTGCCACCCGCCGCTCAACGGCGCCCACAACCCCACCCCGGCCGCCCTCCCGCCGCACCTCCACGCTTGCCCGGGTTGAGCGCTTATTATGTATTCTATTCTAGGATGATAAATGCAGCGTTCCACTGCAAGAGGAATTGAGAAGGAAGTTATTTTGCGCCTGTCTAATAAAATAACTACTTACAAACGGAAACTAGAGGTGCTAAAACAGCACATAGTGTCTCGACCGATAGTAATGCATAACGAATTACTATTTATAACAGCAATGTTAACTCCAAAATACAATCTCGCTTCTCATTTTTTTGTTAAAACCAAATTTTCCAATACATCTTTACATATCTTATTTCCAAAATCTTCTTTAAGAACAGGTTTATGAAGGAAAAAATATCTCTTTATTAGTTAGTTGCTAGGAAGACGCTCAAAAACTTGGAACATTTTTTCGAAAAAATCAGGGTTTCACCATGAACATAATACGACCCATGATCTTCAAACACCTTCACACTATCAATCAAAGTCAATCAAAAAACATTGCAGCCTTCTTTTTTATTGAATGTCCCAGTATTCATGTTAAGTACCCCCCTAAATTAAATATCGATTTCAAATTCAAGGAAGCCATGATATCTGCTAGATTAATGCGAAAATTTCACTTTTGGAGAGGAATCGATCTTGAACAGTTTATC